CCCTCTCACAGAGCTGGGGGTGGTGCTGAACAGAGGTACCCATACACACACACAGAGTGAATATACCGACACCCCCCTGCATCACAAGCGCCCTCTCACAGAGCTGGGGGTGGTGCTGAACAGAGGTACCCATACACACACACAGAGTGAATATACCGACACCCCCCTGCATCACAAGCGCCCTCTCACAGAGCTGGGGGTGGTGCTGAACAGAGGTACCCATACACACACACAGAGTGAATATACCGACACCCCCCTGCATCACAAGCGCCCTCTCACAGAGCTGGGGGTGGTGCTGAACAGAGGTACCCATACACACACACAGAGTGAATATACCGACACCCCCCTGCATCACAAGCGCCCTCTCACAGAGCTGGGGGTGGTGCTGAACAGAGGTACCCATACACACACACAGAGTGAATATACCGACACCCCCCTGCATCACAAGCGCCCTCTCACAGAGCTGGGGGTGGTGCTGAACAGAGGTACCCATACACACACACAGAGTGAATATACCGACACCCCCCTGCATCACAAGCGCCCTCTCACAGAGCTGGGGGTGGTGCTGAACAGGGGGACCCATACACACACACAGTGAATATACCGACACCCTGACTGCATCACAAGCGCCCTCTCACAGCTGCGGACAGGACGCAGCTCAGAGATGGCTATAGCTCTACCAAGGAGGTGACAGAATCTCTCACCACTTACTTTGCAAAGTAGACAACAAACACCACTTGATTTGTGCTGCTAAGAAGGAGTCAGGGTGACTTGCAGGGCAGACTTCTACAGAACTTCTACTTCTGCTTTTCTTGTATAGGCCTTACCACCAGCATTCTACTTATACTAGTGCTAATATACCACATTGACGCTCCAAGAATGGAGGGTCAGGAGGTGATTGGGAGGGCAGCAGGACTGTGAGGGTGCAGATCTTGCAGGGAGAAGTGTGGGGAGCGGGCAGTGGGGTGCAGACCCTGGGGGGAGCAAAGCAGCAGGACTGTGAGGGTGCAGATCTTGCAGGGAGAAGTGTGGGGAGCGGGCAGTGGGGTGCAGACCCTGGGGGGGAGCAAAGCAGCAGGACTGTGAGGGTGCAGATCTTGCAGGGAGAAGTGTGGGGAGCGGGCAGTGGGGTGCAGACCCTGGGGGGGAGCAAAGCAGCAGGACTGTGAGGGTGCAGATCTTGCAGGGAGAAGTGTGGGGAGCGGGCAGTGGGGTGCAGACCCTGGGGGGAGCAAAGCAGCAGGACTGTGAGGGTGCAGATCTTGCAGGGAGAAGTGTGGGGAGCGGGCAGTGGGGTGCAGACCCTGGGGGGGAGCAAAGCAGCAGGACTGTGAGGGTGCAGATCTTGCAGGGAGAAGTGTGGGGAGCGGGCAGTGGGGTGCAGACCCTGGGGGGGAGCAAAGCAGCAGGACTGTGAGGGTGCAGATCTTGCAGGGAGAAGTGTGGGGAGCGGGCAGTGGGGTGCAGACCCTGGGGGGAGCAAAGCAGCAGGACTGTGAGGGTGCAGATCTTGCAGGGAGAAGTGTGGGGAGTGGGCAGTGGGGTGCAGACCCTGGGGGGGAGCAAAGCAGCAGGACTGTGAGGGTGCAGATCTTGCAGGGAGAAGTGTGGGGAGCGGGCAGTGGGGTGCAGACCCTGGGGGGGAGCAAAGCAGCAGGACTGTGAGGGTGCAGATCTTGCAGGGAGAAGTGTGGGGAGCGGGCAGTGGGGTGCAGACCCTGGGGGGGAGCAAAGCAGCAGGACTGTGAGGGTGCAGATCTTGCAGGGAGAAGTGTGGGGAGTGAGCAGAGGGTTGCAGACCCTGGGGGGGAGCAAAGCAGCAGGACTGTGAGGGTGCAGATCTTGCAGGGAGAAGTGTGGGGAGCAGGCAGAGGGGTGCAGACCCTGGGGGGGAGCAAAGCAGCAGGACTGTGAGGGTGCAGATCTTGCACGGAGATGTGTGGGGAGCGGGCAGTGGGGTGCAGACCCTGGGGGGAGCAAAGCAGCAGGACTGTGAGGGTGCAGATCTTGCAGGGAGAAGTGTGGGGAGCGGGCAG